CAAATAGCACTGCCATGTGCCAGACAGGATGCCCAGGAGGGCATCAGTGTCAGGTGCCCGAGGCAGCTGTGGGTCTAGTGATCTGTGTGCTCATGTGTGTAGATTCTTGCTGCTCCCAGGGGCTCTTGCTCCCTCCACTCAGCTCGCGTGTCTGGATGTGGGAGCTGCTGGGGGCCCAGGGGTGCTTAGCTGCAGTAGATTGGACCATTGGAGGAGGGGCATGCTGGCTGTCTTGAAACATCTGAATAGCTTTTGTAAGAGAGAAAAGGAACACTTTGAGGGTCTAGTGCCATCAGGGGGCAGGGTCTGGCTGGCTGTCCACCTTGGGATCCCCAGTGCCAGCTTGGAGCCAGGCATGGTGGGCACAGGCAAGCAGACCCGGTGGCAGAACTCATGGATCCTGTCGGCCCAGAGTGAGGAGGCTCTCCTACAAGCCTGGCTGCTCAGGGGCAGAAGGGGCCGCCTCAGGAAACAGCATGCTGCCCATCTGTCCGTGCGCTTTGGAGACAGACAGACCTGGGGGCCTATTGGCCAGGGGATCTTGGGCAGGCGACCTTTGGAGAGACTGCGTGTGGGGGTCAGGCCCCGGATGCTGGACCCGTGGTGCTGACTTGGTGGTTTGCTAGCTCCGTGGCCTTGGACAGTTGACTTACTGACCACTTGCAGCCTTTCTTTCCACCCCTGTAAATAATAGCCCCTATCCGCACAGGCAGGATTCCAGTAACTGTGTCAATGTGCTCAACACACTTAGAACCGTGTCTGATGCAGGCAAGCATCTACCTGTGCCTGCTGATCACGGAGATAACTGTTCCTCAGTCCACATCACGTGCCCGGCATGGCACTGGGCATGCGGGTCTCATTCCCCAGAAGCTGTTACACCTAATTTTCGCAGTCGTTGTTCACGTCGTCCCTGGGGCCCGGGCACTGGCTCAGTGTCTGCTAACTCTCCAAAGTGAGAAGGTGGGGATTCCCTGGCCAGCCTTGGAGCAGCAGAGGGCTGTGTGTCTGCTGGTGTCTCATTCGTCTCCTCCGCCTCATCCCCTGCCCACTTGAAGTGCCGTCATCTCCTCTGCGGCCAGCTGCACCCGGTAGTGGCCTCCGTGAGCCATGGATGAGCAGCGGTCGCCCCTGTCCAGTGCTCACGGAGCTCTCTTGGCTCTGCCCCCTGCTCCCCAGTCCTGTGATCTCCCCCCACTCCCCGGTCCTGTGATTTCCCAGGTTGGGGCCACGTCTCTCCTAGATTCGGATGCAGGTAGACCTTCAGTCAGACCCTCCTCCTACCTGGTGAGTTTACTAACTTCTCTTAGCTTCAGTTCTTACATCTACATGTTCCTAGATGTTCCTACCTGCTTCCTAGAATGGTGGTTGTGGGTTAGAATCCCCAGCTGAGAGATTGGCACACAGTAGGCACTCAGTAAGCCCTGGCAAGTGAAGACGTCCTGGCTGAGACCCGGGCCTGGCACGGTTATGCTCTCCAGGCAGAACTGTGGGTGTGTCAGCGTGAGGCATGAGCTCTCCAGAGACTGTCACGTGCAAGCCCCTCTCCCCAGATGTGCAAGCGCCTTCTCCCCTTTTGCCATTTGGTAAACTGAGGATGAGCTTTTCCAGAGAGACTGCAGTGAACTCCTGGTGTTTTCCTAGAGCAGCAGCTCTGATCAGTCAACGCCTGGCCTCTGGCGGAGGCCCCTGGAGAAACAGGGCCCTCACTGTGGGCAGACGAAGCTTCCTTGCCAGAAGTCTAGAATGTTCTACCCACCTAAAGGAACAAGTGCCAGTGGGTAACAGTGGCTGACCCTCAAAGGAACAGGTCTTTGTGATCAACCATGTCCTGTTTTATGTTCTCATCCTTAAAAAGGGAAGGTGACCAACTACCCTGGAACTAATACCCATCTTGAGTCCTGAGAACTTACCTCTGTTCCTAGTAACAGGCCTGCTTCTTGACTTGATCCTACATGATGACCAGACAAATCCACATGTACTGACTGGGACAGTGAAGGTCACCGGTCTTCAGTAGCTCCTTTGCCAGGACAGCAATGTGCCGGTTCGCCCCACTCTCACTAATTGTTCTCAGGCACTGGAAAGAGAAGCTGGCCAGCAGGGAGAGGAAGCATGTACATCTGGAATATGCTCAGCCACAAAAAAAAACAACTAAAACTAAAACAAGTTCCGTGGTGTAGACACAGAGAAGTTTATTTTTCCTGTGCTTTTCACCCAGGCTTGGGGCAGCTGGCATTGGAGGCTCCTGAGCCCTCATGGACGGTCCCACAGGGATTAGGTCCCACATTCTAAGGAAGGGAAGGGAAGTTGCCAGCCCCACCTACCTAGCTATCCCCTTATGTCCGGAGAAGCAAACGCTTTTTAAGAAACTTCCCCTCCCCCAACCACAGCAAGCTTGTGTTTTCATTTCCTTGGCCAGAACTGACCATGTGTCTGTCCTTAGCTGCAAGGGAGGCTGGAAAGGTGGGGCCAGAAAAACCCTAACTGGCCAAGAAAACCAATGACAACTTTTCTCCCGGACTAAAAACTGCCATTCTGAACAAAAGCAGCATTCTTTTAGCGAGGGAGAGGAGGGACTGGCTGTTTTGCTGACGGCCAGTGGTGTGTGCCACACCACCATGCAGGAGTCTGTGAAACCTTCTCACTGGCCATCAACCTCACAACCGAGCCCATGCTGTCCAGTCTGCCATTCAGTGCTTGCTTCTCTGCTCAGGCATCGCTGGTCATTTGTGGTCATGAGCTCAAGGCCCATCCGTGCCCGATCTGCAGCCTCCCGCTCACTGGAGACACAGACACACCAACCAATGCCTCTGACGTGCCACCAGCCAGGACCCGGGGCAGAGGGGCTCCTCACCCAGCTGGGCTGGCTGAGAGCAAGGCCCTGGGGGCTGGCGAGCAGTCTCCATTGAGGATAAGTGAGGAGACAACACCGTCATGGTGGCTCTGATGCCTTGTGCTGACATGTTCTGAGACTGTTGCCGCAGCCATCTCCTGAGTCCCCTGACTCATCTATTACCCATTTGTGTGTTCCTAGAACTAGCTTGGTGCCTGGAACATATCTGGAGCTCGAGTATTTTAGTTTCAATAAATGAGTTAATGTGAAAGTGAATCAATCATCAGTTGTGAAAATACCCTGACCAAACGGATAAAGTAGTAGGCTAAGAGGGACTTGGGGTGTTAACCCTACCTCCCTGCCAAGCAGGTGAGGCCCAAGGGCCCTGACATCCCTGGGGAGCCATTTGTCCTGACTTTCTAAGTCTGCTATCAATTGCCCCTTGAGCCTCTAAAATGCATGAGGCTCAGTGGTGGCCCCAAAAGGGGATTGGCAGGTGGTTTGGGGAGTAATTCCTTAAGGTAGTTTAGGCAAGTTCTAACATCTTTGAAAAGAGTCTTTATCTCTTCTGCGTGTATGGTCTTTGGACTGTCCTTGCCCATTGAGGTTCATGAATCAGGTCATCCCTGTGGGATGTTTTCAGAGACCTGGCTCAGTGGCTCTGCCTGCCCTGAGCTCCAGCTGTCAGCCTCCAGAGATTTGCTCATAATCGAGGATAGAACCTTCTGAGTCAACTCATTTTAAATGACGCACGATCCCAAGCCAGTCTCTCCGGCACGCTGCCAAAGTTCAAGTAATTCATGGTTACCCCACAGCTGCTGCCGTCCTGGGGGGAGCTGTCTAAATATTGCCCAGGGCCTGTGTCCTCTCTTGTATTTGCTCCTAGACAGACAACTTGATGCTGTTTAAAAAATAACCCCTTTCATGGGGCTTGTCAGACCTTGTGGTGCCTTTTAAGATTAACATTAAAAATACCTCCTCACAAATCAGTAAAGAGCTCATTCACCCCCCTCACTGCTAATCGGTAAAGGGGCCCCAAACCAGTCCCACACTGATACGTGAATGCCCCAAACAGGAAGACAGGCCAGGGCACCTGGAGCTGATGGTAAGGCAGAGCTGCCTAATTACATGTGGGTATAATGATACCGTGCATAAGCAAAGCGCTTCTTGGGAGGGAGGGGGTCCACGCGCAGGTAAGCGGGCTGCCTGAGCTGCTGAATCCCAGAGTGGGCCTCCCGACCTAGTCCCAGTCCTGCCGTGGGCCTGGTCTTGCCCAGTCCTCCAAGCAGCCCTGTACAAGTGTGTGCTTTGTAAGCTCTCCCCTGTCACAGATGCTCACAACGAGACATGGAGAGTAAGAGACTTGTCCCAGCCACTGAGCTAATCTGTCATGGGGCCGACCCTTGGGCCTAGGATTTTAGTATTCAAAGTGGGTACTCTTCCTGGAATTTTTAGGGCAGCTGAAAGTCTCTTTTTCTTCCAACCTTTTTTTTTTAAGTGAGGAATCATGAAGATGTGATAACAGGACATGAGGGTGAGATCCTGCAATGAGGTGTGACTGACCGGATGACGTAGTCGTTGCCTTTGTGTAACTGAGCATTTTGCTTCTTCTGGGATTTGCCTTCTTGTTTGAAACTGAAGCTCCTTAGGTGGCATAAGAGCCTCCTCTATAGGCCCCCAGCTCACGTTTCCCATTTCACTGGTACCCTGCTGGCTTCGGACTTTCACATATATGTCCACGCTTTTATAGACACGGCCCCTTGCTTGCATCACCTTTGACCCTCTTCCCTGTCTGGCTGTTTCCTCACAGGGACCCTCAAGTATCACCCCCTCCCAGGAAGCTTCCCTGACCTCCCCAAGCCCTGCTCAGCGTCGGATCTGTGCTCCAGTCCCCCCGCAGCCCATAGCCATTTCTGTCACCGCCACACGGTGCCGGTCCTGCCCCGCTGGGGTCTGCTCCCTCTGGACGTCACACGTCCACTCCCAGCACAGGACCCCCCATCTGCAGAGTAGATGCTCAGCAAGTTCCCATGCCAGAGAAGAGTCTGCATGTGCTGCAGACGTGGGCGCCCTGCATGCCGTGAGGTGCGGGATCTGGGACGCCACCGCCCACGGGGTGGCCAGGGGACACATTGGCCCACCGATCTGTTTCCTTTTATTTTTTTCTCAGACGTGCTCTGCCCCAGTGTCCGTGTGGAAGGAGACCGCTTTAAGCACACCAATGGAGAAACCAAGGAAATCACAGGTAAGAGAGGAACAGCTCCCCTACCATACACACAAACACACACACGCACACGCACACAGACACACACACACACGCGTGCGGCTGGCTTGGATGTGCCATTTGCTGGACCAGCATGTGACCCTCCTCGATTCAGGAGTGGCCTCGCTGACCCTGCTCTCAGTCCTGCCTTTCACCCAAGTCCTCACAGAGCGGCTTGTCTGTGCAGGAGGCGGCTCCCGCCAGTGAGCGGAACAACAGTGAAGAACATTCTCACTTCTATTGGGGATTCCGTGGCAATCCTTTGGGAGTTCCTACATACCACATTAAGCAAAGGAATTGCTCAGGGAGTAGGTGAATGATTGGCAGAGCAGCAAAAGAATGGATGAGTAAACGCATGTGGGAAGGAAGAAGAGAGTGAATCACAGCTATAAATACGAGGGAGTTGATGCAAGAGACGAAGCAGACACACGACTACAGACCCGGCAGCAGAAATAAACTCCACCGAGTCCCAGCAGAGACTGTCTCTGTCCATGACAGGCTGTCTCCATGACAGGCTGTCCGGAGACGCGTAGGAATGGGGGCCAGCTTCCCACCATCCTGGTAATGATGGGCACCCGAGCATCTGTTTGCGGCTTACTCCTGCCTGTGGCCAGGGATGCTGCAGAGCATTTAGATGCACTTAGGGGCATGACTTCAAGGAGCTTTCTGCCCCCTGCAGGATACCAGCCCTGCTCTCCTCCCATGCCCACTGGGTTGGGAGCCCCTCCACTCCATCCCGCAGCACCTTGGGTCCAGCTGTGGCCCATGTGTCAAGCTGAAGAATCGTCTCCCGGCCTAGGCAGTGAGTGATGGAAAATGAGGACCGGGTGCACAGGTGCTTCTGGTGCCCTGTGCCCAACCGGGGACCTGCCAGGTCAGGGGCCCCTGCCCTCACAAAAATGCCAGCACCTGCTTCTTTGTGCTAAGGGATGTTTCTAGAATGGCAGAAGGCTGCGCTGCCCATGTCAGATCAGGTGAAACGTGCCAGGGGGCTAACACTCTCGGGAGTGACTCGGCCCCCAGCTGGTGAGGACGTCCCGTTCTACTGCCCCTTGGGCCCACATCTGACCAGTGTATTCTGAGGTCCATGCTTGACCCATTTCCAGGAGTCCCCCAGTGGGACCTGGCTGCAGTCACCTGGGGCAGCTGGCTTAGAGCCACGCTCTTCACCACCTGCTTCCTTCCCAGCCTCCATCCCTGTTCTTGCATCAACGGGGCCTCCCACATAACTGTTAGCGCCTCTGCAGGGACCCAGATGAAGACAGCATCTTTCTTTATGGAACTCCTGGTGTGGTTGGTTTTCAGCAAGGTACTGTCACTGTCAGGATTTCTTTGTCCAACTGTCAGATGACGATAATTTTTACCCTCTTTACTGTGTTAACTCTGCTCTCTTGAATATATTCATAGCTGAAGCACTCTGCCCCAAGGGCAAAATTTGACATAGATGCTCCCACTTACTGCCTTGGGATTCCCCAGCCAATCTCTGGTCTGGACAACCTACTCCCCATTGCATGGAGCATGGACGTGCCTGCCCAGCTCTGCCCAGGACATCTTCTGTCACTCTTCAAAGTAAATCTTACCATGCCACTCTATCCATATTTGGTTTCGTGAGGAATGCATCCTTCATAGCAGAATCTCCCCTAAATAATTCATCGTGTAACATGGAAGGCCATTGGAGGGAAAGGTTAGGAAATGATGCCATTAATAACCATAATCATAATAACTGACACTTGTACACCTGTGTGCCAAGGGGTTTGCATGGCCTCTCATTTAACCCTTGCATCACCTGAGAGAGGCACTATTATGTACTTTATAGTGGGGGAAATGGAGGTGCAGACAAATAAGTAATCTGCCTGAGTTTGTGGTGGAGTCAGGGCTCACGTCCAGACTATCTGAAGGAGGGAAAGAAGAAAGGTGGGAAGGGGACACAGATGAACAAACGCATCTGCCCAGGCCATCGATGAATCAGCACGTACTTTCCTGTCATTCTAGGGAACAAAGAGCCCCAACCATTTTTTCTACTTAAGAGTAATTGATTGTTGCTGGGAAGATTTGGAATACGTGTGTGCAGGGAGGGCACATGTGTATGCACATGCATGCGTGGACGTGTCTGTGTGTGTAGGTGCACATGCAAGTGCGAATGCAGAGCGTGAACAAATCCTTTGGTGTCTGGCATCTGAGGAGGACCCTGCTGAAGAATCTGGTGACTGAATAGGAAAGGGGCCCTCTGTTCAGAACCAGCTGTGCCGACCCGCAGCCAGCAGGACCCTGAAATACCCCCTCTCCCGGGTCTCTCAGGCTCCCAGGAAACAAGTCACAGTGCCGGGCTGGCGTCCATCATCACGCGGCACGGATGCCCCATTTGGGCAGCTCTGGGAGTACATACAGCCTGCAGATCTATCGCTTCCTCTAATTAGAACAGCCCAGAAAAAACTCAGCCGCGCTGAGGCTGAAGGGGGAGTTCTGGAGAGAGGGAGCCTCGGACTTGCCAGTTTAGGGCACTTGGGTAATTGGAGCAGCTCTGGTACTCTGGAAAGAATGTTGGACCCCAAAGCCTCACCTCCAGGCGTTTCCTTAAATGACTGGCTACTTTTAGGGTTTATCTGGGCTGGAACAGTGAGGATGGGGAAGAGAACAGAGAAGGCAGTTTGGAGGTACAGTCTAGGCTGGCCCTGCTGCTCTGGCCTTGAGTCAGGCTCCTGACCTTTCTGAGACTCAGTTTCCCTATGTAGATAACAATGCTCTGACACCAGGTCTTTGAGGCTCTATCTCAGCTCTCATAACAGAATTGCTCTGCAAATCCTAGCGACTAAAGTTGTGACATGGCTTTCCTGGGAGGTTAGCTATTTAATGACTAAAGAATGTGCTAGGCGAGGTGCAGCTCTGAAATTTGGCCACAGACATCCTGAATTTCTCTCTTCCCCTACGTGGGCTTCCGTACCCAGATAGTCACCAGCTCATGGCCACTGACCCTCTCAAACAGCCTCCCGGCCAGTGGCCTCTCCCCGGCCCTCCCCGGCCCTGTCTTACCAAGTCTGGTCCCTCCCTGCTCCTCCATCCCCTGTTGCCAGAATGACCTTTCAGAACAGAAACAGGATTGTGTTTCTCCCTTGCTTTGAAGCTCCTCCGTGGCTCCCCCACTGCCTATAGAAAGAAACTCAGACTCTCGCAGCCTGACCTGCCCCTGCCTACCTCATTCCCACCTCGGACGTCCCAAAATAACCGAGATTCTCAGAAGGAACTTGGTTGACTCAGGCCCAGTAATTTGCATATCCAGCTCCCTTAAATGCCCTTTTCTCCTTCTCTGTCTGCCCAGCTTTTATTAGTTCTTCAAATTCGGGCCAGACGTTGCCTCCTCTGGGAAGGCCTCCCTGATTACTCCTCAGGAAAGCAAGGAAAATATTCCATGAGCACCCCCCCCCATACAAGCCCAGCGATGCTCCTCATTCACCCACAGCACACAGCACTGACACGCTTATCTATGTCTGCTTTCCATTAGATACTAAACTGTGGGGGAGGCTGGGACTCTGTCCTGGTCGTTACTGGGATCTGAGCAGCCATGGGTGCATCTAACACCAGGAGGCCTGCAATGATCTGAATTCCTTCCTTCTCACCTTCCCTCTTTTACCACAACTGGTGCCACAAATAAGAACCGCCACCAAAACGGACTCTTTTAGGGGTGGAGGCATGAATCGGATCGGGTTCCAGCCCTCAGATGGCTCCCCATCCAGTGGCGGGTCGGCACTGCCCCTTGGGCCAGACCCTCGGAAGAACCGGGGGTGACCGTGGGGCCCGGAGAGGCCGGCGCAGCCTCCAGACCTCAGAGGGATGAGGGCGGGCGCAGTGGGTGCCGGCAGGGAGAAGGGCCCCCCGGGGTCCTGGCGGTTGCAGGCTGGTTCCGGTGCCCCTGCCTTGGTGGCTCTGTGACTTCAGGAGGCGCCTTTGCAATTTTTGCATTAAACAATTGTTCCTTATCTCATGGTGCCTCACATCCAAGTCCATTTCTCTCAGGAACATTTTCCATTTTCCTTCCCGGCCTTTATTTATAGCAGGCAATTCATCTTTTCTCTCAGTGCCCTTTGCTGCCACCTAGTTAATTGCTTGTTGTTCAGAGTTTTGTCGTATTTTAGTCTTTGTTTTTATTCACTGAAATCAACAAAAGTGGAACCCAAAAGTAGAGCATATGTTTGCTTTTTAAAAACTGTTTTTTTTTAATTCTCCCACATATGAATGCTAAAGGGAAACCAGCCTACGGTGGCCATTGCTAGTGGCAGTTGATGAAGTTGTGAGGTTGCCATCCTCGCCCCTGACTGCTCACAGGACAGGCAGTGGGCACATGTCCTCCTTGTGAACAGTCTCTGAAAAAGCGGCTCCAGGGCCTGGATGTCCAGGGAGGCCTTGGGCAGCCCTGGGAGAGGCCGCCGCTGTCCCCTCTGTGCTCATGACACATGGAGCTTTCAGGGGCTGAGTGACTGCCCCAGTCCTGGATCCCCAGAGTCTGACTGCCCTCCGTCCCTAGTTTAGCTGCCTCAGTTTAGCTGGAGGCATCTCTCAAGCAATGGCCTGTCCCCCAACCCCTGCAACCTCCCCTGCCCCTTGCAGAAACCTCCCCAGGAATTTCTCCTCCAGGCAGGCAGGAGAGTCCAAGAGTTTAACAGATGGGAGAGCCTGCCCTCGGGGACCCGCCTGTGCCAGGCTGCTGGAGATGACAGGGGCAGGCGCCTGCTCCGTGCAACTCTGCCTGCAGGCACCTTGACCCCGCAGGGGGGCCACCTGCGAGTTCTGCCTCACGGTGAAGGAGGTGCTGGGCTGCCGATCCGACTGTGCGGCTGCCAGCTCTCAGACTGAGGTCTGAATGGCTCCAAAACCTGCTCCCACCTGCCCTGCATTTTTCTAGAACAGGACCTGAACCCTAAACAGCCTCTGGGCCCTTTACCTCTTGGTGTCCACTCCATGGAGCCCTAGAAGTGGGGGCCTTCCTGGGTCTCTGGGCCAGTCGCTTCATTCCCGGGCAGCCACCCCTACACTGCTGTGTGTCCTGCGCCCCAGGACACGTCCAGGCATAGGGCTCGCTGCATGTGGCAGTACTTTGGAACTTCAGAAGGCCCCTCCTAGCATGAGGCCTGGCCAGTTCTACCAGCTGTCCCCAGCTGAGGCCACAGGGCCCCACAAGGCATTGAGCCCAGAGCTGCAGGTGCCCCACATGCCTCCTATCCCCAGGCGGTGCATGGATGGCAGTGTCCAGTCGCTGCTCAGAGTGGGTCAGGGCTGTGCCCGCAGAGGGCAGTGGAGGAGGAAGTCCCTCTCCTTGTTCACTCAGTGGGCGCTCCCAGCACTGGGACTCCTGACCTGCCCACAAGTCTCCCCAGGACCTCCCGATGCTGGGGGGGCAGCCGCTCCTTGCCACGTGGTTGGAGGTACAGTCCTGTGTAACCAGGGGGCAGGCGTAGGGCTCTAGGGGAAGCGGCAGAGCTGTCTGCAGGGTGTGAGGCTCCTTGTGATGGGATTTCACAGAAGACATGGGTCCAAGGCCTCCCCCGTGGCCCCCAGCAAAATCCAAATGAACGGTCAACCTGCGATGATGAGGGAAAGCCCTGAACCACCTCTTGCCCGCAGAGGCAGCCTGTGTGAGCAGCGCTCGCACATGGGCCCCCCAGGTGCCAAGGAGGCCAGGACACCGTCCGTTTGGCCTGCCCTAGGCTGTGAGCCAGGGCTTGTACAACACTCACATCCCCTGGGAGATCCGGAGCCTGCATTTCCCCTGCACCCTTTGCTCGGAATCGGAAACGGGAACAGAAGCTGCCCATCTCCTTGCTTCGCTGGTCACTGTTTTCTCCGAATTAATTTGCCTAAGTCCTGCATCCGCTCTTCCCAGGGCAGGCCAGGCCGGCTGCCTCTGCAGAGAGCCGCTCACTTTCTGTTTGTCTCCTGGGCTTCTGCCTGCCTAACTCGCTCCTCGATCTTTTCTTTGCACAGGTTTTGACCTGATGGATTTGTTCAGAGTGAAGGAGATTCTGGGGAAGAGAGAGAACGGAGCGCACAGCTCCTATGTCCGGATGGGGTCCTTCCCTGTGGTACAGAGGACGGAGTGAGTGGTCACTTCCCTGGACCTGCCCTGGACACCCAGGGAAAGGCAGGATGGGGGCCGGTCAGCCGTGGCCTCACACTGAGCACTGGGCAGCCACTGCTCGGAGCTGCTCGGTGCTGGGTGAGGTGGCCCTGAGTTGAGGCCACGGAGCTGCTGACCGGGGATCCCACCTGCCTCCTAGCTGGCCAGTCAGCCATCGCCGTACTGGTTCTCTGGTCCTGGGCTCACCTCTTTACGTGCAGGCATGACCCCACCCAGAGTCATGTAGTCAGTTTGGCCAATGGAGACCCCGTCAGTCTTTACGGGGCGCCCAGCCTTACACAGGCTGTGGATGCCTCTGTGTCCCAGTCTTGCCATGTTTTTCCCCAGAAGTGAACGTTCCTGCCCTGCAGCATTGCTGAGAGGATTGTGATATAAAGATCTGTCCAGGGTCTCTAGTCAAGGGCTAATAACGATACCAAAATAATTGTGCCATTCTGCCCATCTCAGACAGATCTTTCAGAAATAAAAATGATGTTCATCACAATGCTCTTCCTCCATCTTCAAACTCAAATTGCTGTGAAGTGTTCTTAAGCTAAAGGGCTGGAGAGGCCCTTTTGTGACCTGGCCCCTCTTTCCATTTTGGCCTCAAGCTTGTCCCCCCACATTCCCTTGTCCGGCTCCTCCGTCTCTGCTCTGGGGGCCTTCCAGGTGCCCTCCTCCCACTGCAGGACCTTTGATCATGCCCTTCCATCTCCCTGGGACACCCACGGGTCCTTCACAGTACAGATCAACCAAGGACTCCTTCTCTGACCCCCCAGATGAGTCAGGTCTCCCCTTACCTTCTCTGCTCACAAACTATCCTGCGTGTTACACAGATATGGTGGCAGGGCTGACAGAGGACCCCGCTTGGGAGGTCATTTTTCTAATGAGATATTTAGAACAAACAGCAGAACGGTTTTGCACACGTCCTGTGGACGGAGGGATCAGCCTCCCGGATAGTGGGTCTGAGCTCCTATTAGGCTGAGTTGCTCTGAGAAGGAATTTCATCATGGTTTCAAGTTTATTTTAGTGGCAAAACACCAGAAACAAAATCAAAGCAGCAACTCTCTAACATTTCAATAAAGAATAGTATCCCCTTATTTCTAATGCTCTGGAATTTATGCAAAGATAATACACACATGTATATCTTTAACTACAGGTTAATTTAGTTCATAATGAAAAGATGTCACTTCCAATGTTTATATTTTTCTCACTTGTTTAACATGTAAAGAGTATTTTACACATCTTATCCAGGTTTTACTCACTTCAATAAAATGAGATGAGCCAGGTGGGTACCCTGTTCATCATTTAACAGGTGCAACATTTGAGACCTGAAATGGGAATAGTAACTTGTTCAAAATCTCACAGTTTGTAGGCAGAGAAAGTTGGCCTCAAACTCAGGTCCTCCAGACCCACGGCTTCTAGACTTTTCACTATAATCTCATATCTGCTGCATTATTTCTGGGAAGGATTAAGTTAGGCCATTTGTATTTGCTTTAGATATTCTCTGTTAATGATATTTTCCTCCATCCTGACTGTAATTAACACTTTCTTAAATTATATGTATATATATGTAGCCTAAGAAAAAGCCTTGGTTTTTATCTACCTACAGATATGTGGATGTGCTGTAAAGACATATATCGATAACAGTCTATACATATATATGCTAGGCACACACACATATGGTTATTTCAAAGGTATAAGAAGAAAGTAGGTCTAGAAAAGAACAGCACAGTTGGGCTCATTAATGAAATAAGAAGAAAAAGAAAGTGAACAGTCTGTGAGCACAAAGCCTGTGCGTGCAGCCCGCCGGGGCAGCCCTGCCTCCCTCCCATGTGGGCACTGGCCTCGGGATCCCACTTCCTGTGGAGGCCCCCGTGCCCTGAGTAAGAGGCCTGCTCCAGGATCCCAGGTGAAATCCCCCCCAGAGAATGACTTTGAACAACAGGACCCCCTCCTAGCTGGCATCTGTGAGCTGAGGGTCAGAAAGGGGGGGCTAGTCTTTGCTCCCAGGTTCTGCAGCCGAACAAAGGGTCCCTGAGGGTCTGTGAGTCTGGGAACCAGAAACGCAGACGCCCCCTCATGTCCCCTGCCTGGCTCTTTGGCCGGACAGCTCCCACCCCCTCCCACGGAGAAGTCAGGGCCGGGCACTCCCTGGGCAGCTCCTGCCCCAGAGCGGGCTCTAGCCCACCGTGGCCTGGGGATGCAGGGTGGCAGTGCAGCCAACCAGCCAGGAGAAGGGCTGTGGACGCCGGGCCCCTCTCAGCGTGCGCCTCACTGGCCTCTGCCCGACCAGGCGGCCTCAGGTGAACCCGCAGAGCCTGGCTGCCCTCAGCTACCTGCGGGTCAGAACACCTTCCGAACCTGGTGTAAAGAGCAGTTTCCCTCTTGAATGTGGAGGGGGAGGAGCAGGTGCAGGGAGGTGAGGAACGCCCCCAGGGCTCCCCGGGGGCAGGAGGATGCCAGGTGGGGAGACAGGGAACAGAGCAGGGTGAGACACAGCAGCTGGGCCCTGCTGAGAGGAACGGGCAGGGGTGGGGCAGGGGTGGGGAGGCCGGCACATGCCGCCCTTGACCCTGGGGGAGGAGCGACTGCGCCTCGTTTATCATCAGTTTTGTCAGGAATGGTGAAGGTGGGCAGATGGGATCAGACACGTGGGGAGGTTTGAAGGGGCTGAAGGTGAGGGCAGGGGACATGAGGGGTCCAGCAGGGGTCTCTCAGGGGGTCACACTGAGGCCCCCATCACAGGAGAAGGCGGTAAAGGCAGGGGAGTGGGTGGATTTCAGAAACACCTGGGGGTAAGGCGGGCGGGACCGAGCGAGCCCAGGGGTGCGCGGGCCTCCCTCAGCCTCTGCGCTCACACTGAGCCCGTGTCACCTGTCTCCGTCCCCCCAGGGATGTGTTCCCGCAGGGCCTGCCTGACGAGTACGCCCTTGTCGCCACCTTCCGGGTCAGGAAAGCGTCCCGGAAAGAAGACTGGCATATCTGGCAGGTCATCGACCAGTACGGCATCCCGCAGGTATGAGTCCGCCTTGTCTCAGCGGGGACCCAGGTCTGTGGCTTTCCCCTCCCAGGGATGGTGTCCCCCGGCACGCTTAACTCGGGGGGCCTGTGTCCTGGGCCCCAGAGATGGAGAGTCTGGTGTGTGAAGCCCCAGGGAACTGCAGGGGAGCACCACCTGCCCGAGGTGCAGCCTCTCTCTCGTGAGGGGCAGGTGCTTGGCGCTCTGGGGGACAGCAGGCCTGCCCCCTGCCTCCTGGCACTCAGGGTGGTTCTGCGGGCCTACGGCCTGTGCCCTGTTGGTGAGAGTGGCACAGCTCCACGGCATGGTGGGAGACCGGCTCAGGCTCAGCCAGACCTGGGCTCACGTCTGGTGTCCGCTCCTTCCTCAGTGGCGCCCCTGAGACACGTTAGGTCAGTCTCCATGTTCTCAGCTGTGAAGCGGAGGGCAGGATTGCGCCCCCGAGTGGTGGGTGGAAGGAGCGCCGAGGCCACATCCCTGACGTGCCCGGAGCAGTTTCTGGCACGCAGTCCAGCTCTGTCTCAGCCGAATCCCTCCGGCGAAGCTCTGTTTTGACCCTGAATGAAGTGCGGCAGGCATCTGTGCCCACCTCTGCTGTTCTGGCTCTGAGTCACCTTGAAGGTAGCCCAGGGCATCAGCAACACAGGCGGAGTGAGGAGAGACACGCCTCAAAACCAAAGCCGTCAACCCGTGACCCGCCGGGCTGAGATGCAGGTGACACTGCGCTCTGTGCTCTGCCAATCCAAGCCCCTTGTTCTCAGAGGTCATGGCCATATTGTGCCTGCCATTTACTCTTGTTCTCTCTTGAGAATGAACCGTGTAGGGGTATCACATGCCTTCAGCCAGAGAGACTGACCATATTTTCATCTGGAGCTGGACTGAAATGAAGATGTGCTGAAGGGACCGGAGTGTGGCAGCCATGCTCACAGGCAGCGGTCTGAGAGGACCAGCCCCTCCGGAGCCGCGAGCTCTGTGCTGTGCTTGAAGCTGGACCCTGACACTGTCCGCGCTTCCCGACGCTTCCACGCACTTGGCAGGTCCTGAGACAGTCCCGGTGCTCCAGAGACCTTCGCTCATTTCCTCTGCTGAGGGTTGGTTCTTCTGCTGGCATCTCGCAGGAGGCGGCTGAGCCGCAGCCAGGCCAGGGCGCTTCCCCAAGCAGCTGATAAAAGGCAGCCTGGCAGTCATGCTCCGCGCCTGTCTTTGCCCACTGTGCTCAGCCAGCTTCTACCCATCAGGCAGTCCTAGTGGACGATGTTTCTGTCTCTCCCCTGGTCAGACTGAGGTGCATAACACCGTCAGGCCGGACTGCTGAGCCCCTGATTTCATACAAGTGTGGGAGGCGGAATGTGGGAGAGGGGCATCTTCCCCAGCGGCTGTGTTTTTGGAGAGCAGGCAGCTCCCGGGGTGCCCATGTGCCCCCACCTGCTGGCGTGCAAGCCTTGCTTTTCCAACTTCTCAGGGTCTGGTGACGGGTACTGGGCGCCTGCCGTGACATCCTTGAGGGGCGTGTCCGCATCCCTCTCGGTCTGCGTGCTCCTCCTCGGGGCATTGGCAGAGCCGTGTGCTCCCCGCCTGCCACGCTGCCTCCCCCCCTCCCGCCGCCGGAACGAGCCGGGCGCTGACCTCCTGGGCCCGCCTTGGAGGACGTAGGCCTGGCAGCACAGTTTCATGGAGCAGCCTTGGGGGCTTCCCCTGTCGGCCCCTCTGTGCCTTGGGGACATGCCTGCTCGAGTCAGGAACAACGGAGTAAGGCCTGCCAGGAGGCGAACTGGGCCCCAAGTTTGCCACCAGCATCCCTTTGTGCTCTCCAGCCACTGAAGATCTGTGGATCTAGACTTCTGTATCTGTTATCTCATTTACAACCATGCTTGAAAGGTGGCATTTTCCCTGTTTGTCCCCCGGGAAAATGAGGGGCATTCACTCACTCCAGACACCGTAAAGGGCGGGGCAGGAGAGCTGTGTGGCTGGAGCAGAGTGTGTGGCAGGGACCGGTCAGGGGCGGTGGGTGGTGGGAGACAGATCCCTGCCTTTTAGGCCGGTGTAGGCGCTTCAGGTCTGTGCCAGGCTCTAGAGGATGCGGGCCGGCCTAGAAACAGGGAGACCAATCAGGCGCCTGTGGCCATCTGAGCAAGAGGCGGTACTGACTCAGACCGCGCAGTCACGGTAAAGTGCTGAGAAATGACCAGATTCCGGGTGCAATTTGAAAACAGAACAAACAGGCTTTGCTGATAGATGTGGGCCGTGGTGTGCCTCACCGAGGCCCCCGGCCGGTACCGGTAGCCCCGGGGCTTAGACCTGCTGGGGTTCCCCCCCTGCTCTGCCATGAAACACCAACAGGAAAACCATGCCATCGGACTCCCAAGGTGGCTCAGGAGCGCGGGGCTCACGCGTAAACCGTGCTCTAGAAACAGAAGACAGTGTGAACTCACAGAAGCATCAGAGTATCAGCCACATTTTCCGCCCTTTACCCTAACCATGACATGAAGGCAGGCAATTTAATTAAGGATAAATCTCCGGGCTGCACTGGCTGTACTGAAGCCGTGTGGGGACAGAAAGAGACGCCAGAAGGCCTGGCCAGTGCTGCAGACCCTGGGGCTGAGGCCCTGCCTGCTGCGGCTCCTCCTTCAGCCTTGGGCCCTCACTCATTCCTTCCCTCACTCCCTCCCTTTTGTCTCACAACAAATCCCCTTTTGTTGAGTGCTGCTGCTGCCCCCCGGGTTTCCTTGGCCACCGGGTTTACAGGGCCGGACAATAGAGACACAATGCTGGCCTAAAAGATGGGGCAGGAAGGCAGGACACAGGTGAACAAACGGATGGACATGATGCTCCCTATCCCACCGGAGGGCTGTGAAACATGGCAATGAACCAACGAACCTGGGGGCTGAGAGCCCGCGGCCGGACCGGAATCCAGCTGCATGCGTTTGTCAGAGAAGGCTTCACTGTGCGGATGTTCTTGAACTTATTCAATCTTTTTATAGCTAATATTTAGAGCAGTGCCTGGTATGTAATAAGTGCAGTGTAAGTGTGTTACATATGTATTAATTCACTCAGTCTTCAGAATGACTCTGACGTAGACACTATGACTGGTACTGTTTTATGAATAAGGAAATAGTACAGAGAGGTTAAATGAGTTGCCCAAGGTCACACAGCTCAGAACGACTCGCTAGTTGGGGTGTAGGCAGTAGGCAGCCCACATTTTTGAAGAGAGATTAATGACATGGCTGATTTAAGGCGGCTGGTGAGATTAAGGGTCGGAATTAAGGAAACCAGCAAGGGATATTGGGGTATCCTGGAATTAGAACAACAGGACGCTGCCACCCTGGACCTGGAGGGCCGAGGCAGGGGGAGGCCGGTGGTCACTGGAGGTGGAGAGTCCAGGCCCAGGAGGCACTGGTGCCCCAGCCCCTCCCTCTTCCTTCCAGGGGCCACACTGACTAGGAGCCGGGGGTGCTGGAGTCCAGGTGGAGGAATTCTTAAAGGTCAGAGCTGGGGAGCCCGGAGCTCGGCAGAGGAGGGCAGGGCACAGATACCAGGGCAGGTGCAGACCGACTCTGCACAGAGGGAACGAGAACATTCTCAGTCACCCGTTTGCCCTGTGAATACTTACTTCCTCTGTGTGTGTTACGTCCCCTACGTCCACCTTCCCCGTAGAATGTCGACCTTCCCCGCCGCCACATTCCCGACACCCGGCAGGCTGCCTGCCTGTCACGGAGGATGTTCAGGGAGTATCGTGCGAGGGGAAAAGAAATGATCCTATGGAGGAAAACATACTCATTCATTCTAGGAAAACAAAAGTAAAACTTTCTTCCAGAATTTTCCAGGCATTTTGCAGACAACTGGGGGTCCTCCAGTGAGCAAAATTGTCAAGGTCCCTGTCCTCAAGGGACTGTATCCTCCTAGAGCTTTGCTTTAGTTCCCCAGATGGGAGACAGTGCTGGCTAAATATGGGGTCTCAGGCTGGTCGCGGCATCTGGCCTGTGTGTCCAGAAGCCAGTCGGGGTCCCTGGCTGTCCCACAGCTCAGACCCCTCTGCACTGACTTGACAGCTTGCTACAGTGCTCTTAGGTGCACAACCCACCAGGCAGGTGGGGTTGTGGCCCCTGGATTAGTGTGTGAGTTCAATTATCCCACTTAACGTGGGGCCTTGGGCAGCCTGCAAGGTGGATGTTATCGCCGCCCTCGTACCGAGGAGACCAAGGCTTAGTAACGGCAAGAGGCTGCCTGAGGTGGACCAGCAGGTAGGGCCACAACCTGGACCTGACTCGGGTCAGCGAGGCCTGACTCGGCAGCTCCCTCCCCGCCTGCCCTCCCCCCGCGTGGTCCCTGGCAGCTCTAGGAGCCCGTGGCCCTCTCCTCCCCAGGTCTCCATCCGGCTGGACGGAGAGAACAAGGCCGTGGAGTACAACGCTGTGGGCGCCGTGAAGGACGCCGTCAGGGTGGTCTTCCGCAGTCCCTGGGTCAACGACCTCTTCGACCGGGACTGGCACAAGCTCGCCCTGAGCATCCAGGCCCAGAATGTCTCCCTCTATGTCGACTGTGCGCTGGTGCAGACGCTGCCCATTGAGGAGAGAGAGAACATCAACGTCCAGGGCAAGACCGTGCTCGGCAAGCGCCTCTACGACAGCGTGCCCATTGACGTGAGTACCACGGCCGCCGCAGCAGCCGAGGGCCTGGGGGCCCGGGAGCCTCGGGAGTCAGGTGCCCCCACCTGCCTGTGTCACTTTCCCTGTCCTCACCCTGGACTGTCCTAGGAGGAAGCACCCTGACTCAGAACCCAAGTCACCCTCACTCATTCATTCATTCAATCCTCCTGTTCAGCCAGTCACTTATCACATACGCTGAGAAGCTCCTGGGGGCACTGTGCTCAGCAAGGGGACACAGTACCTATATCCGCAAATACATGCATAGAGACGGGTTATGAAGCTTCCTACAAATTTAAATAGAAGCCTTTCTTTCTCTCTTCTCTGATTGTAGGATATCTGGAAAATACAGGAAAGTCTATGGAAATAAGTAAAATTCATCCTCTTCCCACCAGCCAGGGATTACAATGGGCACAAAGTCAGTCCCTGGTAACGGCTGTCCGGCCACCACCCCTCCATCAGTGCTTCCGTTGTTCTCTCTCTTCTCTCTTCGTTTCCCTTCTTTCTTTTCCTCTCCTTTAACTTTTCCTTCTCTCTTCCCTCTAGAAATGCATCCGCCATCTCTCTGCACACACACATGCACACATGCACACACACGCGCACACACGCACACATGCACGCACACGCACGCACATGCACACACATGCATACACGCGCACACACATGCATGCACACAGGCACGCACACATGCACACACGCACACACATGCACGCACATGCACACACATGCACACACATGCACACACATGCGTACACGCACGCACACATGCACACATGCATGCGCACACACAGGCACGCACACATGCACACACACACGCACATGCACGCACACAGGCACGCACACACATGCACACATGCACACACACATGCACGCACATGCACGCACGCACATGCACGCACACATGCAGACATGCACGCACACACACATGCACACGCACACACGCACACACATGCAGACACGCACACACGCACACTCACGCACACACATGCACGCACAGATACGCACACACGCACGCACACACACACGCACACACATGCACGCGCACGCACGCACATGCACGCGCACATGCACACACGCACACGCACGCACACGCACGCACACCGTACAGGTTGCACGTAGCTCCGCGTGCGTCATCCTCAAGCTGCAGTCCAGCTCACCAACCGTGAGCGGGAGCACCCCCGCTTCCCGAGAGACCCCCCGAGCCACGATCTGAGATGGCTCTTTCCAAAACTAGTTCCTGTCATTGTTCACACTCATGTGCTCGTCTATTATCAGACATAGTGTCGTTGGAGGTGTGCTGGGTTTTTTGACATTTATGTGAACTTGTGTTCGTTTATATCCAGTTGTACCGCTACATCTTGCTTTGTGTTTGTTTTCTCAAAATTCTCTAGGCTTCATTCCTCCTTTTAGCCTCTTCATAATACTTTATTTTATTGTGCATTCTACTAATTCTCAGATTAGTGGGAATTCAGATTGTCTCTGATGTTTCACCGTCACGGTCGGCAGGCCTCGGGTCTTGAACTTGGCCTCATCTCTAAGTGCACTTTGCTTGCCTTTGCACTTTGGAGTGACACATGCCTTTAGGCGTGAGGTGCAGACCAGGTGAGATAGTTTCCCTGGGGCATGGACCCTTGGGTTCAAAGACTAGATTGGGGGATAAATAGTTTTTTACTTTGCTACATATTTTAAATCTCCCAACCAAGGGAGAGAATGTTTTATGCTCGCCAGCAATGTGTGAGCATCCCATTTTCTTAAATCCTCACCAACATACTGATTTCTTTTGCCAATGCGATGGGCATACTGTGGTATTTTATTGTGGTTTCCATCTGCATTTCCCAGATTACCACTGAGTTCAGAAGTCATTCCATGTGTTTGTTCATTGCCCATCTGACTTCCCCTTTGGTGAATGCCAGACCATTGCATCTGCCTGTTTATAATTATGCTGTTTTTCTTTTCTCAATGATTTCTAGATAATCTATATATTCTGGATACTAATCGCTTATTTATTATATATGCTATAAATATTGTTTTCTGATCTGTCAAGCACAAACTATAACTTGAAAAAATGAGTAATTATGAATACATTGAGTCAAGAAATGCTACTATAACAAAACACACCATAAATAATTTGTATTTTACTCTTTTATAACTTGCTTTGTTAGCTAAACAGTAGATCATAAACATTGTTGTGTATACAAACTCCTTCAAATGAAGGTCAGAGGGAGTTAGTCAGAGGCACCAGGAAGCGACGAGGGGTGTGCAAGAAGCACACCTGCTAACCGGGGCTCCGGTGACGGCCCCGCCACCAACCAGCTGTAATGGCAGGAGTCACATGCTTGGTGTGTTCCTCAGGCTTTGACTGGCTGTTCATTTACTCTCGAGACGGGGACCGTGCCCTGTTTGTTTCCATATGCCATCCTGAAAGGATGAAGTAAGATGGTAGATGGGGAACTAAACTAAAGGAGTGAAATCAAAGTAAAGCTTTGTGTAAGTAAAAACCATCATTCAGGCTGCTCGTAACTCTAGCCCATCATCCTATACTCTGCGCCAGGCCCTGTACGGAAGCAGACCTCACCCATGTCCGGTCTAATCTTCTTCACAACCTTAGAGAGTAAATGCACAGAGAGATGGCCGCTCCTGAGAAGATCACGGAGCCAACAGACGGCAGGGCTGGGGTTTCTGCTCCAACAGCCCGCCCTGATGCCCATCTGCAAACCACACGTCCACTGAGATGACAGGAGACAGGGCGGATGAGGATGGGGCTGTGGAGAGTTCAGGGCACAGACAAGGGTCAGGCTAGGCTGTCCCCCAGCAGAATGTGTGTTGAGGCCCCGGACATGACTCTTCTTAATTCTGCCTACAAACCAGTCAGGTGGCCTCTCAGAAGCAGGAAGTGGTTCGTATAGATGCCCCCCGGCCCTAGGCAGCCAAGCTGGGCCTCTGGTCCTGTGGGACTGTCAGCCCCTGGATGACCATGCCTGAAACAGATGCCCTCTGAGCTGTAAGGAACTCAGAGCAGCTTGTCCACCCCATCGTTTGCCTGAGGCTCAAAGGGAGAAACACCTGTGAGCAAAGACACGACAGGGCTGAATCCTTCCAACCCCGCTCGGATACCTCCCACAGTGACGTTTCCACTACATTTCTGTTCAGAGGGCTGGGGGCTGATCTGAGGAACCGTGTGTTTGTGGTGACTCGCTACCAAGGGCAGGTGGTGCCAGAACAAAGGGCCAAGCAGGCCGATGGATGCCGGTGATGGACAGACACAGTGCCAGCCCCGGCGCTGGGGGCATGGGGAGTGGAGGAGACCCAGTCCAAGGCTGGGAAGGGTCCTGGTCTCGGAGGGTGGGGCTTGTCAGGGACACCTGCAGTGCTGGCCCCTCGCCCGTCCGCCGCCAGAGCCCTGGTCGCCCTCCCTTCCGTTTCCTGCTCCCGTGTCTCAGGCCTCTGCCCACGAGCAGGGATGAGGCGGTGGCTCTGGGCACCGAGAAGCTGGAACCCTCCGAGGAGCAGGACAGACTCACTTCCATGGTGTCCAGCTCTCTCGGGCCCCTGTGTCGCTGGTCCTAGCGCTGGGGACTAGCACCCCCAACCTGGTTCCAAGCAGCACGAGCCTAGAGTGCCACCTGCCCACGGGGGTCAGCACGTGGGCTCCCTGGGGCCGCCTGCTCTGCAGCTCTTGCAAAGCCCCAAAGTAACCATTCATTTTTCAGTGACAAAGAATCATAGAGGGAAGGGCTCCTGGGCTCTGATCGGTGGAAGGAGGCTGTGGCTTTGTCTTCCTGCCGCCCTGCTGGTGTGTGGGCACAGACGGGCCTATGGCTGAACGCCGAGCGCCTGCGGAGGACAGACGCCCTAACTGGCACTCTGCTGAGTGTGGCACGTGAGGTTCTGAGCGGGTCACTTGCGCTGACTCGGTGCATCCGCCCGACACCCCCATGGGCTCACACGTACTTGGGCCCCACTTAGTACGGAGATTTAATTATTTGCTCAAAGTTGCAAAATTGGTAAGTGGTGGTGCAGACTTCGTGGGCTGTTTGTGAGTTCTGCATTTTACTGTGAGTCTAGAGCCTGGGTGTTTGTCCTGCCCTGACTCTTAAATTCTGTGATCACTCTGGACCCTTAATTGGGTTCTTTAACCCACAGCGTGAGTCTGGGGGCTATGGTGGGACCCCACTCTCCCCTTTGTGCCCACAGGCGTTAGCTGAATGTCTGTTTTGTACCCAGTACTGGGGCACTCCGGAGCCTCTAGCATTTGCCAATGGAACACTGCAGCCACTTTAATCTAGAAACTTCTGGCTTCCCAAAGCACAGGCTGGAGTGCTTGTAACCACCTGGCTCGGGACTCGAACACGGTGGGGAGAGACTACAACAAACTGCACTCCCCCTGAGCTGACATCTGCTCCTTTGTCTCGCCTGGTCTCACCACAGCCCCGTGGGTCAGGGCGCCATCCCCACCTCACAGAAGAGGAAACTGAGCTTGGTCCACTTTAGTCCGCTGCTATGGGGAAGGAGCCGGACTGAGAGTCAGAGCCTGACTCCAAGCTCCCGCACCCCTGGGTGCTTTCCACACGCAGCCAGGAAAGGGTTTACAAGGTGCAAATGGGGGGAATACAGAGGGGAGCCTGCTGGGAGAGGATCCATGCGGCACATTCAGTGCCGACTTGCCGAGGGTGAGGCCGTGGGCAGAGATCTCAGGAGTGGGGGTCAGAGGGATGGCAGGAGGCAGGCTCTCGGGCTTGGTGGAGGGAAGATGAGAATGGCCAGGGGACGGTGGGATCTCAGGGGGTTGGAAAGAGGCTCCCCAGCCCCCAGTCCCCCCCTCCCGCCCACCTGAGCACGCCTCTGCCCAGGCCCACCGCCTGCTCCGCCTCCCTGACCCTGACCTGCCTCTTTCTTCTCCGTTCCGGTCCTGCAGCCTTGCCAGCTGGGCCAGCTGCTGAGTGTGTTACTCGCTGACGCAGAGAGCAGGACCCCCTCTTTAAAACAGGCCTTGTTCAAAAGCGCGATTTTGCATTTCACCTTTTCCTCCTGCTTGTGGGCTGGTGTGTCTACAGGAAGTGAAGCAGACAGACAAATGGAATTGCTATTGTTTTTCTGAGCCAAGTCAGTAGGGTGAAGGGTAACACCTGCAGGGACACGGCGTAAGGCTGGGAGGATGAGGTCAGGGGCTGGCCAGCTGCCGGGTCAGTGTGTCAAGGGTGCCCGAGTGCAGCACAGGCCAGAGAAGGGCCCCGGGGGCTCCAGGCCGGGGGTACTTAGCACCCATGTTCAGTGAGAATGGCACCTTCCATCCATTGACTCAGCTCAGGGTCCATTTCATAAATGTCTGTCCATGTGTGCCTTCAGCCAGTCAGTACTCTGCCTCTGGGACATCTGCTACAGACCAGGAATGGCTCTGGGGCTGGGGACATAGCAAAAGACAAAAGGTAGGAGCGCCCTGCCTCACAGTTCATGTTCAAAGTCAACTGAGAAATGTATGCAAAATGGTGTGACGTGCTAAGTGCTGTTATGAAGGTGTGCAGGCTGACGTGTTCGAGAGACCGGTGACAGGAGTGGCCGGGGCTGGGTGGGTGCTCACAGAGGCAGGAGGTGAGAGCAGCCAGCCTTGCAAAGAGCAGGCAGAGGACGAAGGAGGTGGCATGCAGGCTTTGGGCACTGTGAGGGCAAAGCATGTGGGCAGGGGCTCAGTGTCTCTGGGGCACACGGGTCCGTGTGGGCAGCCCAGGGGGAAGGTGGACACATAAGTAAATAGTCACCGTGCAGTGAGCTACAGTCAGTGCCAGCGTGGGATGGAGGCCGCATCCAGGACAGAACAAGCCTGGCTTTGGCCTGTGCCAGCTGACCGCCCTGCCCCTGGGTTCTCTCTCCTCGAAGGGAGGCGTGCAGGTGGGTGACGCGCAGGAGCCCTCTGAAGCTCAGCTCGGGGCGGGAGTGGCCCAGGGTCAGACCAGGAGAGACCCCATGGGGAAGTGGGGCCGGACAGCTGTGCGGGGCCTGCCTGATGCCTGGGAGGCGCCTGGACCCCGGAGCCCCCAGGACTCACCCTCTGCCTGTCTTCCTTTCCAGTTTGACCTGCAGCGCATCGTGATTTACTGTGACTCCCGACACGCGGAGTTGGAGACATGCTGTGACATCCCCTCTGGCCCGGTGAGCAAGGCTCTTGCCTGGAGAGGCTGGGTGGAGACAGGTGCCTGACCACCAGAAAGGGGGGTGTCCAGGGCCTCGGACCGGCAGTCAGGGTGTAGGGAGATGCCCACCATCAGAATGCGACTGATGGGGAGCCTGGGGACATGGCTAGGGTCCCATTCTGTGGACACACAGTTGGGGGTGGAGGGTCAGGGTCACGCAGGTCCTCTCAGGGCTGCTGGGACCCCAGCCTCAGTCAGCACCGCCCCTGGGAGCGAGAGGCAAAGGCTGGGGGTGTGGCCCTAGGAAGGACAGAATGGGGCTTGGAGGAGGGGAGGCCCGGTGGGCCTGCCTGGCTGGTTGGCCAGCAGGAGGGGGAAGCCTGAGGCCAGGACTCAGGGGACAGCCCTTGATCCTCCGTGTGGGTTCAGCCCCTCCCCTGGGACCTTTTCAAATCTCAGGTTCAAGTCTCAGAGGTTAACACTGAGGCTCAGGGGGGTGAAGTGGTTCCTGCGGGCTGAGGAGTGGCGTGAAGCGGCAGAGACAGGGTTGGCCCAGGCCTGTGTGACCCCAGGGCCTCAGGAGCGCCAGGACCTGCGGTCACACGTGACCTGCCCTTCCCCCACTCAGGTGTCCTCGGGGTTCCCGGGTCGCCTTGGCCTGTATGGTCCCCAGGAAGCTCCAGACCGCCCCCCTGGTTGGGGAGCCGTGCTGGGGGAGAGGCCAGGCTCTGAGCCCTGGGCTTTCCTTCCAGTGCCAGGTGGCTGTGCTGGCAGAGCCCTCGCCCCCGCCCCAGCCACCTCCTGTCACCAGCAGTGAACAGATTGGATTTTTGAAGACCATCAACTGTTCCTGCCCAGCTGGAGAAAAGGTACCTCTGCCATTCACCTTCGGCCCGCAGCCCAGAGCCCCTGAGCTGCGCGGGGCAGGGCGGTCAGCAGGACCGGCCGTGGGGTGGGAATCTCCCGTGAGGCACACGGCCTGCCAGGATGGGGCGACCCCAGACTCCCGACGACTCAGGTCGGGAAGGCGTGCTTCCTCCTGGGCCCCTTGTTTCTGGAGGGGAGCTCCTCAGACCGGCGACATGTGCCTGAAGTCAGCAGTGCATCCCCAGGGTGCCTGGCTGCTACTGGTGTCCTCTCTGCTCAACGCGCAACTCGGTCAAACCGGATCTGGGTCGAGAAGAAGGCTCAGCGGCTCAGCGCCGGCAACGGGATGGAGTTTAGATGCGCTCTGCGGAGCCCGCCCTCACCCCCTCTTCTCGGCGTTGCCTCCGCTCAGCCTTCCCTCTGATCTAGAGGCATTCCTCCCTCCCTCCTGTCCTCTCCCGTCCCCCTCCCTCCTTCCTCCCCTCCTTCCATGGTTCACCATCCATCAGTTCAATGGCTATTTACTCAGCACCTATTTCTGAGACCCGATGGGCCGTTCCCCTCCCTGTGCTTCCATGGACCGTAACGATAAAAATGTCCTTACATCCTTAAGATGACTTCCAGGTGGCAGAGAGTGAGCCTTGGCATGCCTGTGTTTTCAGCTATGGATATATAGCTGACATTACTGAATAAGGGTTGAATTGGTGGATGAGCGGTTCAGGGTCTGAAGGGCCACCTGCCGGTGGCAGAAGGACAGACGGGAGGGAGGGCCTTGGGACACCCTTTCTGTCTTGCTGGCAGGGCAGGGTCTCTCTTTTCAACATTATCGGCCAACCAGCAAGTTCACAGCCTCAGCCCCTGGTGGCATCCATCAACATCCATTCCTTTATTTACTCAGTCATCCCTTGTTTTTGACAATAAGCGTTAAGCACCCACTGTGTGCTGAGCAGGAGACTTTAAGGCACATGGGGCATGGTCCTCAAAAGTCCTCATCTATTGGGAGGCTAGGGTGCCCCAGAGCTCCGAGGCCCGGGGTCCCTTGGCACCCTCCCCGGGGCTTGAGCACCTCCTCAGCCCAGCTCTGTTCTCCTCCCCAGAGGACACCAGAGCTCCCACAAGCGCCTCATTGAAGGGCTTGCCCGCACCTACTCCATCTTCAAGCTGCAGGAAGTACCACGCAAGGGGCCTGGGAAATCTGGCCACTCTCTCTGGAAGGCCGGCCTCTGGTCACAGGCAGACTTGGCTTCGATGGTTAAACCTCTAATTCAATCCACAGAACTTTTCGTCACTCACTGAGGTCAGCAGGATGCCTTCGGTGCTCCTGTTTCTGCTCTAGATCCAAACATCATGGAGGATGAACTGTGTGTGTATGAGGCGTCCAGGGGCACCGTGTGAGCTCAGACACGCAAAACTCATCTCCATATGCATGTGTCAATGACATCTGTGAATGCATTTAAGAAAAGGTGTTCCTGATGTAGCTAAGTGCACAACTGCACCTGAGCGTACATGGTGTTCAGTGACAGGCAGTGCACACGTGTAAATGGATATATATTGTCATTTTTTTTCATTAATGTGCTGAGATTTGCACAAATACAACAGCATGAATCATTACATTTGTTTTAGTATGATATTTACATGCAACCTCAGCAGATCACATTTTTCGATCTAAAAATAAGATCTTTTACACAAACAGCACATACTTTAAAAAGCGAACAATGTTTACAATTAGTGACAGCCTTTAGACATGCCTTGTTTTGTATTTTAGTGAATAATTATATGAACCATTAGGCAGGCTACATGGTTTTTTTAATTGAAATGATGTCATATTCAGATACAAATAGCCTAGAGGATGCCATCTTTGTTTCTCTTTATTCCACTGATGTTGTATTTGGAGGCAGTGCCAGTTTCCCGCTCAGATGTGCAGTCCAAGCAGGGGCTCTCAGCCCTCATAAACCTCGTCCGACTTGTCGGTCAGCACGTGGCTTGCTAGGGGACTGGTTCATGAGCCTGTGGGGTGGCTACCGACAAGGGAGGAGAGAAGAGGGGACATTTACATTGAGGCTAGCTTGCTTCTTCTGACTTCCTTCCTTTAGGGTGAAAAGGGCTCTGATGGCCCCGTGGGACCCCCCGGCCCAAAGGTGAGTGCTGGGGCTGGCTGGGGGGCCGTGAGAGCCCACGAGGGAGGCCGGTGCTTTGTTCTCCACAAAGGAGAGAAGGCGAGCTCTGGGACAGACTACTGCCCTGCAGCGCTGTGCTTCCGGGCTCGCAGAGAGAGGACAGAGCCAGCGGACCCCCGAGCCTCTTAACCTCTCAGAACCTCCCTTTCTGTCTGATTTAAGCGGGAAAGGGTCAGGTTACAGCAGCCCCGGGTCAGACCCTGTTTGCCCCAAAGACCTGAACCCTCCCTGGCCAGCTAATTCTGTGTCAATCTTTTTAAGCCTCTATATTCCAGGAACTTTGGGGTTGGCTTTAAGAGTCTATTTGTTTAGACTGTGTTCTGTTTGCTTAAATTGCATGAAATTCTTTTTTGCACAAACTTTCCAAACTCGCTAATTTCTCTTAGCCAGGTGCTCCTGGGTGGGGTCCTCCTTCCTGGGCTGTGCAGCAGCACCCCCCAACCCCACCTTTCTGCGGGTCTGTGACGCTTGTGGAGCTGGACAGGCCTAGCTTCCCACCTCATTGTTTTGGTCTCAGAAAGCTGAGACCCAGAAAGATGTGAATTCCATGGTCACACAGGCTGCATGCAAGAGGTCCGAGTATCCAGTGGCCGTCACCTGGCCTGGTGTTTGAAAGGGGCTGAGTGTGCTGGTGGCAGCTCCTAGAGGCAGCTCCCTCCCCTCTCCCCTCCGGTCCCCGTCCAGCGCCTCCTCTGGGTCACTTGTCCCCGCATTCATTCATTCAGTGCTTGGCATTGAGTACCCTCTACAGTCCCTCAATCTCTCTCTTCTCCCTCCTTCCCGCCTCTGCAGGTGCCTTCTACACTCCCCCTTCTTTGCCCTTCTCCCTGGGCCCCTCTCTGCTAGGATGGGGAGCACAGGTCCACACTGCCTCACACACACATTCACACACCCACCATCACACACCATCACATACCATCACACGCACCATCACACACACGCCATCAAAGATACCATCACACACACACCATCACACACTGTCACACACACCATTATGCACACTGTCACATACACACACCATCACACACTGTCACACACACCATTATACACGCCACCACACACTGTCACATATACCATTAAACACACTGTCACACACCATCACACACACACCATCACACACTGTCACATACACCATTATACACACCATCACACACACATATCCCACACACCCCATCACACACATACCATCTCCACACCATCACACACTGTCACACACACCATCATACACTGTCACACACACCATCACACACATACCATCTCCACACCATCACACCCCGTCACACACCCCATCACACACACACTCCTGGCCTGCTTGGTTCCCCCTGCACCCCCAGTGTGGAAGGAGGTGGCTCAGGGCTGTCCAGGGAGTCAGCTGGTCACCAGGAGGAATGCAGGGGGTTCTGCCTCGCTGAGCCCCTAGGCTGTCACCTCAGCTGCTCAGCCGTCAGATGGGAGATCAGAGCAGGTGTCTGGGGTCTGCGCACCTGTGAGAGGAAAGTGTTCGTCTGCAGCGGCAGCTGTTCATGGAAGGGCTGTGCCACGCTGTGGCTGAGTGACCGCGGCACCAGGAGAGAAGACGGGGCGGGAGGGAAGGCATACTGAGGCAGGAAGCAGACGGGCCCCCAGGAGGCAGCCGGGCCCCCAGAGCTGGCTGCACCCTGGCCTTGCGGCACCCCTGCCGAACTGCCCAGCCCCTGGCTGAGACTCAGGGAACAGCGGTGCCCACAGGGGCTCCACTGGCCTAGGCAGAGCTCGGCTGTGCCAGCAGTCATGGCCTGGGGTCTTCTCGGTGCCACAGCCCAGTCTAGATGCAGGCTGTCCGGTGAGGCGCAGACAGCCCCATCTCCAGACCCACAGGCCGCTGGGAAGGGAGACAAGGCAGTGGGGGGATGCCCTGTGGGGCCGGGGGCGGCGGGGCCCAGAGGGGAGCCCCAAGGCCATGCAGGGGGCGCTGGAGGGTGCCATCCTGCTGGAGGCCCGCCCCGGCCGGGTGCAGCAGGGTGCCCAGGACGAGGAGGCAGGGAAAGGCATCACAGCCCAGGGAACCATGCAAGCGGAGGAGCTGTCTCTTCTCAGAGCGAAAGTGGGAAGAACTGGAGCCATATACTGAGAGAGAAGAAGAATAGGGGAGATTCACCGAGGGCTCCGTGGGCCTGGGCCTGGGCCGGGCCCTCACGTCAGGCAGCAGAGCTGGGGCTTGAACCCCAGGCCTCTGACTCCCCTGCTGGGGACTCAGACTGGTGCCTAGGCCGCCCCCAGGGACAGGCCTGCGGGGTTTTCACCCACTCGCTTTCTCAAGACATCCGTAGTTCCTGGAACCAGGAGGGTGGGTGCTTCCATGGGTGCTCCCTCCCTCTGTGGGGTGGGCGCACAGCCTCACTGGGCAGGTGGCGGTGATAAAACCGGCCCCCCAGGGGGTCGGGCGAGGTGGGCCGCGGGCAGCCTGCGGGGAGCCTGGCGGAGGGCCCGACCCAGTGATCATCTCTGGTTCCACCTCCTCAGGGCGACTCGGGAGCCACCGGGCTGGCTGGAGCTCCAGGGCCCAAGGGAGAGAAAGGCGACATGGTGAGTCAGGGGCTGCCCCCCGCGCAGCTGGCGTGGGCCTTTCCCTGAGCATGCGTGTCAGCCGGGAGGTGCTGACCATCTAGTGCGCACCGGGACTGAGCCCCGCGCCCCCCTCGGCATGAATGCCAAGCTCGCAGGCGGGCGTGGGTGTGGCCCCAGCAGGCTGCTCGGCTCCTGTCCTCACCATCCTGCCCTCCGGATGTGTGCTTCCAAGTTGGCAGCTATGACTTCCTAAACTGGTCATTTTTCACGTCCAAAAGGACACATGCTTTTGTCTCTACCAGGAGTAACTTTACCACCTGCTCACCCTTATTCCCCCTCACCTCCCCTTTCTGCCTGGCCCACGTGTTCTCACCAGTCAACGGCGTCTGGTTCTCCGGGGTAGCTTTCTGAGGCCAGGTCTGCGTCACACACAGCCTCTGTGCTGCCACGTCGCCAGCTTCCCCGGGATATACCTCCCTCCTGCGCGTAGGTAGGAAGCACCTGTTATGTGCAAGATCACATGGAGTAAGAAGAGGTGTGAGCACGTAAGAGCACTTACTGGGTGCCTGGCTCTGTCATGTGCTGCACAGATTTCAGGCATGTCAGCCTCACGTCACCTTGGTGAGCTGGGTCTAGTGAAACACCCATCTTTCTCATATGCAGAGAATAAAAAAGCAGGCCACAGGAAGTGCGTGTGCTAAGCACAGGTCTCGGGCTTAAGAGAAAGTCTGCAAAGGGGCTGTTAGAATTCTATTCAAAGAATGAAAGGAAACCATTCTTTTCTTAAAGAAGTAAAGGAAGATATCATGACAGTATCCCATCAAATGCAGAATATAAATAAAGAGATAGAAATTGTTAAAGAGGAACCAAAGGGAAATTCTAGAGTTTAAAATTGTAGTAACTGAAATGGGAATGAAAATCAGCAGAGAGACCTAACAGCTGTTTGAACGGGGTAAAGAAAGATCCCACCATCTTGAAAATAGATCAATAGAGGTTATGTGATCAGAAGAATGGAGAGGAAACACTAACAGCGCCTCAGAGGAATGTGGGCACCCACAGAGTGCACCCTAATGGGAATGCCAGGAGGAGATGAGGGAGAGCAGAGCGCCCAGGGAGACAGTGGCTGGAGACATCCCCTTGGCGAGAAACAGTGACCTGCACATTCAGGAAGCTCAGCGAACTCCAGTCAGGATGAACACAGACATCCATATTCAGAAACATCATAGCAAAAATGCTAAAAGAAAGAGAAAATTTTGAAAGCAGCAAGAGAAAAAAATGACTCATCATGTACAAGGAAACCCCAAAAAGATTATTAGCTGACTTATCAGAAATAAATGAAGCCAGCATGCAGGGGGATGGTGAATGGAAAGTAATAATTATACAATGAGTTATTGAGTGTTTAACAAATATGTATGATAATAGCCCCAAAATGGGGGAAGAGGAAATAGAGCTATACAGGAGTATGTCTATATCTCTCACTGCAAGTAAGTCACTGCCAATCTGAAGTAGGTCCTGATAAGGTAAGATTCATATAGTAAATCTAAGAGCAATCTCTAAGAAAATAATTCAAAATTATACAGTGAAAAAACCATTAAAGATATTAAAATGTTGCAGTAGTAAACAATGCAAAAAAGAGCAGTAAAGGAGGACTAAAGGAACAAAAAAGACAGGAGATGGGAAACAAAAAATAAAATGGCATGTGTAAACTGATTGTATCAGTAATAATGTTACATGTGAGTGTATTAAGTCCATTAAAAAGAGGATTTTCAGATGGGACATGAAAATGCAACTACAGGAAACACACTTTAGATTCAAAGATGCAGAAGGATTGCAAGTAAAAGAATATGTATTTTCTGAAAACAGAAAACAGAAAAAATTGGACTGAGTATATGAATTTCAGACAAAGTAGACTTTAAAACCAAAAATAAATAGAAATAAAGGACATTTTATGATGTTAGAAGTGTCAATCCTTCAAAAATATATAACGATTATAAACATAGGTCTACCTAACAATAAGACCCCAAAATACACAGCAAAAAACTAACAGATAATTCAGTGGCAGTGGTTAGAGGCTTCAGTACCTTATTTTCAATAACAGGACGGTGCAGAAATTGGAACCCTCATAATGTGGCTGGTGTAAAATGGTACAGCTGCTTTGGAAAGTAGCCTGGAAGTCCTTAAAAACTGAAACATAGAATTACCATGTGACCCAGCAATTCCTTATATATATATACAGACATCCAAAAGAAAACATATGGTCATGTAAAAACTTGTACACAATGTTCAAGGCAGCATTATTTATAAAAAAAACAAGAAGTAGGGACAAATGTCCATCACTGGATGAATGGGTAAACAGGATGTGTTCCGTGCATGCAGTGGCATCTTATTCTGCAATAAAATGAAGTATTAATAATGTTTGACAACATGGAAAACACTTTGCTAAATAAAACACTGGCTGTGAAGCCCATCATAAAAGCATACACACTGTATGATTTCCATGATATAAGATGCCTAGGAGAGGCGAATCTGTGGAGACAGAAAATAGGTTAGGTTTGCCTAGGGCGGGAGGGGCAGCAGAGAGGGGCCACCAGTGGGCGTGGAGCTCTTGTTTGGGTGACAAAAACGTTCTAAAGTTGATGGTGGTGATGGTCGCACAGCTCTGTACATATACTCACATGCATTGAACTGTACTCCTTAAACCAGGTGAATTATACAGATGTGGATTATATCTCAATAAAGCTGATAAGCAAAAAAAGAGCACTGTGGTAGTGAGTTGTTGAGAAAATTAAAAGGGATGATAGAAGAATTAACACTCAATAAATAATAGTTGCCGTTTCTTGGAGGGGCTCCTTGGCAGAGCTGCCGGGGAAACAGCCCAGGGTTCGGGCCCCAGGGTGCTGCCCGCCGTGTGCCGCAAGGACGCAGGGAAACTCTGCAGTGACGCTTTGTCTCCGCTTTGCTTTCCTAGGGCCGAGGGTCTTCTGTCCAAGGAGGAAAGGGTGAGAAGGTAAGCGTCTCCCTTTTATCACACTCCTTCGAGGGCTGCGGAGCAGGGTGGGGGTGCGCGGGATTGGGAGGGCCGTGTGCTGCCGGGGTGCTAAGCCTCTGTGGCCGAGAGGAGGTCCCCTGGCGAGCGCCCAGCCCGCGCCCCCTTGCCTGCCCTGGGCGGCTGCAGCACACACAGTGTTCAGGGCTCCCGGGCCCCGTGAGAGCGTGAGCGCAAACCACAGGGGGACGCGGAGGGAGGCATTTATTTAGGATGTGGGTGGCTCACAGTGCTCAGAGGAGAGGGCACCTAAAGGCCCTCCTAGGAAGTGGGATACAGGGCTGCACAAGTGGTTTGAGGACCAGCATGCAGGGCATTGCAGTGTAGGAAGGCACTGAAGGGTCTGTGTGTGGTCAGACATGCTGAGATTGTTCAGACAGCATGCGCAAGCCAGCGGGGAGAGGGGAGAGACCAGAGGAACTGGGGGGATTGTTGCCGAAGTTTCAAGGGGAGATGATGACGGACAGAGCTGTGAGCGGCGAGAGGAAGGGAGGGCGCCGTGAGGGAGGCCGGCAAACGCTCTCCCCAGGTACGAATGTTGCCCCACCTTTGGCCTTCATCGTAACATCCATGAGGCCAATAGACCCTGGGAACTAGGGCTTTCCTTCAGAGGAGGAAAGCTTTCTTAAGATGCTAGCCCGTGAGAGAAATACAAGGCAGAGAGTCGTTGCCATTGTCTGCTCACTCCAGCGGTTACAATGTATCTCCCATTTCCCAGGAGAGATGTTGAAGGCTTTATAACATACATTTATGCTGATCGTTTCACTAGTGGCCTGGCACCTGCAGACTCAATGCTGTGCTGTTAGACCCCGGGGGCTGTCGCTGCTCGGAGGGGGCTCCCGCCAACCCCTTGCGTAGGGCTGGCGTGAGAACCGGGCGCCACTCCGTTAAATTACTGGGGAACAGCTTTCACATGGCCAGTCTGTTCTCTCCCTGCCCTTTTATTATGTCTAGAGATTCACTCTAAGGAGATACATCAAGGACACGCACAAGGGCACAGCTGTGAGTTTTATTCAGTGCAATCTACAAGCAAGACTGGAAACAACCGAAATGCCATGTAGTGGGCAAAGGGTAAAATAAGTTATTGTACAGCTAAATAATGCAACAGAATTCAGGGATGCAAAGGTACATTTAGAAGAATAATTAAGGACCTAGAAAATGAAGATAATACTTTGTTAATTTTCAAAACACATTGCAAAATATCTACACAATATGACCCAGGTGTGTGTGTGTGTGTGTGTGTGTGTGTGTGTGTGAGAGAGAGAGAGAGAGAGAGAGAGAGAGAGAGGGAGGGAGAGATAGAGAGAGAGATTATTTCTGGAGGCAGAACCCCATGAGTAGCCACAGTTGTCTGTGAAGGACACAGTTGTGATGGTATTTATTTTCTCCCTTATCTTCCTCTGCATTTTGATTTATTCCAGAATAAATGGAATTCTTTTTCATACCTGTTATAAGCGCAGGCACGCAGTGACCACTGCACATGAATACAAAGCACCTGAGAGACAGCGTGATGCACGGCCTCCCGGAGCCTTGTACCAGGCAGGCCTGTCCAGTCAGCCCTGGCACTCTAGCTCTGCCCTCATGTCCAGTCTGGGTCTCCCGACACCCAAAATGGGCTGATGCAGCCGCCTTTCATGACCGCAGTGCCTGGAACCTCAGGGCTCAAATTTGGCAGCTGCTTTCATAGTTTCTAGCATGCGTGGTCCCTGGAGGTCCAGAACCAGAGCACGGGGTGGTAACAGGATGTCCACATGTTCCCTGGTGTCAGGACTGGGGGCGCTGGACCCTTGAAGTCAGGGCACTTGGTCTGGGTGGTGCCCGCTGGGTTGCACCAGCATGCAAGTCCCGCACCAGCCTGTCCTCCCACCGATGTGCTGCCCTTCCCATGTGTGGGTGTCGCCAGGCAGGAACTGACAGGCCTCCTTCCTCCCATGAGCAGGGGGAGCGACTCTGCTGCATCCACGCTGTTCGAGCTCAAGGTGGGCAGCTCAAGACCCAGCCTGGGAGCATCTCCCTAGTGCCTGAACTTCTGCCCAGGTGCCATAATTGGGACCTGACACAGTGGGTCCCAGCGTAGCCAGGGAGACCTCACCCACTGGGTGCTGGCAGGAGACATGGGCTCCATCCTCAGTGGACATTCTCTCGCAGCTGGGCATTTTGAGCACAGTCTGAATCTAGGTTCTGCCACATAGGAGCTGTGCGATTCGGGGCGAGTCACCTCCCTCTCTGGGCCTGTGCTGCCTCATCTGTGAAATGCTGCGCAGGGACTGGGTGATGCATGACGCCTCACAGTCAGCAGCTCTAAGGCTTGGCGGTCAGCCACCCCAGTCTGGGCCCTGGGGCTCTCTTCCATGGCTCGGAGTCTCTGCCTCCTCTCCCAGGACGGGACAGGGCCAGGGTAGGTCAGGGGGACTGACAGATTGCATGGAGCGGAGAAGGCCCCTGGTGACTGGCACACTAGGACAGAGCCCCCCGCACTGGCCTCTTTCCTGAGCATTCTCCACAGAGCAATTGCAGAGTACCGGGGATTGGATGGACTGCAGGCTGAGGGGTCCGGCGACCATGTCGCTCGGGTGCTGGCTGTGCCCTTGTGTTTGGGGTGTTGGAATCACCCAGTGTGATGGTGAGCACCAGCCTCTGAGGGCCAGGTGCTGCACAAGGTGTCTGTGCCCCACGCAGTGTCTCAGCTCTAAGGCTCTGCTCCAGGGAAGGCCTGCTAGGCCCATTCACAGATGAGAACACAGCTGAGAGGTCCAGTAACCTGCCCTGGTCACGTAGTCAGGAACACGGCTGGGAAACACAGTCACCGGTCAGTACTGAAATGAAGGCAAGCTGGGGGGCTGAGTGACTCACCCTTCCCCGGAAGTTTGGGTGGTGCCATGTTCCTGGGCTGTCTGTGCCCGTTGTCTTGGAGGCCAGCCTCCTCTCTGGTGCCTGTTCCAGCCCACGTTCACCACAGGATGTTGGGGTAAGTCTCCCTCAGGGTTTGAGTGTCTGTGAAATCGGGCTCAGGTAAAGGGGGACGGCAGCCCACAGCCCCGGGCCTGGGGCATGGCAGTGGGAGGGAGGGCGGGCCCTCCTTCAGAGTGCCTGGGAGGCAGCTGGCATTGAATGCCGGCCAGTGGGTGAGTGAACAGATGGGCGCCCGGGGCCAGGGGACGCTTGGCTCAGGATGGGGGTCGCAGACTCCGCAGTTGGGCAGCCCAGCTTCAGACTATGGCCCCACTTGGCATTGACCCTGTGTCTGTCCTCGGGCTGCCCTGAGCCTCAGCCCCCCTTCCTGTAGAAGGGGGACAGGTGTTCCTGCCATGGAAGGTGGCTGGGTGGACCAGAGCAGGAGGCAGACGGCAGGCCTCCCGAAGCTGTGACGCTACTGTTCTGGTTACTGATGCCCTTCGGGGTGAGGAGGGCGAGGAGGGCCAGTGACCGCTGCTCTGGGCCCGTTCGGAGAGCTCGGGGGGGAGTCAGGGAGCATGGGGACCGGTGCTGACCTCCATGCCCCTCCCGCCCTTGGTTCTTCCATGTGGAGAGAATTAATAAGCGCGGTGCGGATGCTGGCATAAGGGTGCCTTGGGTGGGCACTGAGCCGGTCTGCACTCCACGGGGATGAGGTCTGCAGAATCAACTGGACCGGGAGCCAGTCGGGTAGAAAGATTTACAAACAACAAAACAAGGCCCAAATGTGCGTTCTCCGGTGAGCTTCCTTCTGGGGCATCCTAAGGGTCCCGCTCTGGGTACCGGTCTGCGGGGGATGAGCCTGCGGACCCCGGAGTGGTCGCGCCTTCCTGGGCCCACAGCGCCCTCTGGTGCCTGGAAGCCAAGCGCCCTCGCCAGGCGTCCCCTGCAGGGCTCCTGCCCAGTGTGACGTTGGGGAGGTCTCTGCGACTCCCAGCTGCCTTCTTTTCCTCATAAACTAGCATCTGGTGGGGGGAGGGCAAAGCGAGCCTGGGCCTTGTGCCCCGATGATGGAAAGCATGTCTGGGGAGTTGGCAGAACTGGTTCGGACCCCAGCTCTGCGGAGGCTGGGGGATCTTCGGTTAGCGTCTCTCTGAGCCTCGGCTGTGTCATGTGTGACGTGGGACCATTGATGCCCACCCTCCGGAGTTGTCCTGGGGCTTACAGGAGGTCAGTAGTGCCTGTGAGCATGTCTGGCTTTGTCTCTGGTACCTGGTAGGTGCATGTAAAAAAATGTCCTTGGTCTTTATTCCTTTCCTTGACCTGCTAGAAGTTAATGCTACAATCCATGACAGATGTGCATGTTTCTTCAGCAGACAGCATCCAGGCGCCTAGTGTGTGGGGGAGAGTGCTGCTTTCCCAGAGCTCTCAGAGCTAGGCTGGGTCTCTGGTCCCCAGTCCAGTGGAGGAGGCATGTACCCACATTCCTGGCAGGCAGCTGTCTTTTCAAGTGGATTCTAATCACTGACCCTTAAGCAGGTCGAGCTGTGCCAGCTCTAGCCCACGTGGTGTCACGTGTGCAGAGGGAGGCAGCACTGTCAGGAGATGCCATGTGGGCTGCAGGATGTTGTGGATGGAGGAGTGGAGAATGGTCGCATCAGCAGAGCGTTGTGTCTCCTAGGATCCTCGGGGCGGCACTGCTGGGGGAGCTTAGAAATTACCCTGAGAAACAGCTGGGGAACTGTCAGAAGCACAGCTCAGGTGAAGGGAAAGCGGAAGCAGGACCACAAGCTGCCCTGTTCTTTATAAGGACTCTTAACAACTGCAGCGACAAACGGGCACAACCTCGTGGGAAATCGCCTTCCATCAGCTAGACGGACATCAGAGAACTTAGGAAGGAACCCGGCTGTGCTCACACATAAGATGTGCGCGCCATGCAAACCACCAGCACACGGGGGCTGTGAGGTCTGGGATACTGTGTATGTCTTGTTAATTGCTTTTCATGGTGTCACAACATTAGTTTATCTGTAAACACTTAACCAAAGACTAGATCTTAATCTTAATAT